ACAACTTAAGAAAGCCAAGCCAAGTTGAATCAGTTGATCAAGGACGGAAAACAGCGTCGTTGGTGCGAGATGTGCTATGATCATCAATTTGGCTGCATTGCATGACGATTAAAGCAAATACCAATCCCAACACCGGGTCTTGTCGAGCAGTGAAGTTTAACAGGCCGAAGATGATGATTATGATGATCAAGAAGAAAAAACAGAATGATTATTGGTGTATAACTAAAATGACATTTCGATACTGCAAACTGTTATTATTGATAATTATTATTATAAGCAGACAGTAAACTTATAACAGTCTGTGGGCAGATTACTATGGTTAATGCTTAATATGTAATAGCAAATGAAGTAGTGTTAAGGAAAATAACCTTAGGACCATTCTACACAGACAATGTTACCGCTTCGTAAAATCCGCTTTTAAACCGTCACATAAAAAGTATTATACGAACTTTACTTGCTGCAATCTGCACTGCTCTATATTAAAAAAAAATCGAAGAAAAGTTGAAGTCCGACAACACATACAGGAGTAGCGCGGTGGGTATTTTGTTGCCCTAAAACCCTCATAAAAAAGGAGGAGGCTTAGGCGTAGGGTGGGGACGTACAGACTCTTACTTTATTTCTTTACTTATAAGCGGTAGCCAGTCGATCACCGGTTGTCAAACATCAGCTGATAAATTGTCTTGTCTAACATCGGTGCTGGATTTTATAGAGGTTTCAATAAAATATTCCTATATTTAATGGATTATTATCTGTATATTTGCAGCTCAAAACAGTTCATCACACCATATATCTCATGAGTGTCGTAAGAGAAAGAAAAACTAGAAAGGAAAATTACAGAGATCTTGCATCGACACACGCAATAAGTATGCACGTACAAGTTACTGTCGATTCAAGTATTTTGAGGCAGTGATAATCGTGTGTCGTCCCCAATGCCACTGTGGTTAATCGTAGTCTAGCAAAATCTTGAAAATTAGACCACTTTTCTACTATATGTAATATCTTTATTTGAGTTTTGTAGCCATGTGACTGAAAAAAATATATAATCATGTTAAAAATTAACCGCTGTTTTCTTTTTGATCCCAAAAGTCAAAGAATAATGTAATCGTAGAATGGTGACCGTATCATAGCACGTATGGGCTCCGATAAATGGCTATTCAACCATTCTCTTAAGTAACTAGATATAAAAATGCAAAGACCGGCGTCTTGTACCAGTATTAAAGGTGCGAGATGTCTACAAGACCGTGGTATAACATCCGCCATTTAGTCTGCTACACTTGAATTATTATAGTGAAACCTCCCTACGACGGAAATAACTTACGTCCAGTAGCGAAACGACTTCTTGGTGCTGGTTTCGTCCAAAGGCTTCGCTGTTTTATTTTTCAAAAACTCATTAGTAACTAGAGCTGCAAGAGCAGTTATCATTGTTACAAAATTAATTTTGAGAGCAAACGGAATATAGCCATTTATGTACCTTATATTTTTAATAGAATCTACTACGTTTAACGCCTTCTTGTAGTAAGATGTTTGCGTTTGAAAATATTACCTCGCTTTACGCAATTAGCACATAAGCGGGAAGAATTTTAAGAAAATCAGCTTATATTTTCTTATAAATAAAAATAAAATCGAATTTTTAAAATATGTTCTCAAGATGACTGAAATAATAACAAGGATATTCATCTAATAATTGTATATTTTTTCTCAAACCAATTATTATGATTCAAGTAGCTGAGCCTTCAAAAATCACTTGTCCGTATGTTTACTTTATATAAAATGTTTTTTTAAGTATTAAAGAAGTTATATTGCAGTAGATTTACAGAGGTTTAAAAAAAGGTTAAATAGTACCCCAACGTCGGATTAACGAGCGCATTCCCGCGGCAAACGTACCTACCGTATATCATGAGCATTACGATGAATTATGGTAAAATCAAAATTGAATTCATTAAAGATTTACATAAATAAAAATAAAATCATCTGGAATGATATCAGAAGTAATAAAGTATAAACTCTTAACTAACCACCAATTCGTTTTGCGTTTAGTATAGCTTTTATGCGGCTTTACAAAATATATATATATACATACATATAAGTATATAGGATATAGAGGATAAAGTACCTAATAAAAATTACTAAAATTCTGATATAACATGTTGATATGTAACAAACTCATTTGCATTTTGTTAATAATATATAAAAGGACACAAATTACACAGTTAGTACATAGAATTGGCAGCACACAGATAAGTCTTGTGACAGAATATTTGGTAGTAAAATCTACCAAATATTACTTATTGTATACATAATCAATTAGTCTTTTAACAAAAATAATATTTGGCAATCATTAATCAGTTCAGAAATTTCAAAAGTCTCTAAATAAACGATGACTTATTTTTAGTCTATTATCTACTCTGCTATCTTAACTTTGGCGACGTACATTTAAATATTGATATGATTATTTTAAAAAGTTTTACAATAAAATAAACTTTAAAAACATATCGCACAATTAAATTATGTTTCTCTGTTCTATAATGGTTACTGTGGCTTTTGAAGTGCCATCACTATCTTCGGATTCTGTGTAATTTTGGAAACTTGTTTCTAGAAAAGAAATATATTTTAGTTTTTACTTCAATACAAAGTAAAATTCATTTATATATTACAGCCTATCTAAATTTCACTGCTAAACATAGGCATGTCCAATAAATTGCTTAAGGAGATAGTTTCAATAGATGCCACGCTTAGAAGGCGAATTGGCAATTACTGTTTTTTTTTGAGCTGTTGCCAGTAAGACTCTGCTGGCGATCTCCGTTGTTAGTTTACCTCCGCCGTCATTTACTATTTACATTGGTACGTTTGATAAGCTGTAATGAATTTATTATTCGCAAGTGAGCATGCTGTGGACATTTACATAGGAAAAATAGAAACAACAACTTATTTACTTTTGCCATATATTTTTATTTAAATCTTAGTTCTTAAAGTGATAAAATTAAAACGTGCCTTTAATAACTAATTATATATAACCAATATTGAATAAATGATTCTATTCTTATTGCCACATAGTATTGACACATACAATCTGTAACGGTTCCCCCCCCTCACAACAATAAATATATTAGATATAATTAATTTACCCCTTTTCGATAAAAATTATATATATGTGACCAAGATAATTAAGATATGTTTTGATCTTTCTAAATGATCTTTCTAAAAAGGTTTATTAATAGGCCGTTTTTAATATTTTGGCGTGATCGTCGTAGTTAGGACCCTTATTTACGTTGTGTTTGTTTAGTAACTTAGTTCTTTTAGGTGTCTTTTGGAAGAATGAATATTCACTAGAGCAATTGAAAGCTGTTGGTAGTGCCTTATAAGCTAAGTGAACCCCGTTCACGAAGACAGGGCTCGAAAAAGGTTAAGAACATAAAACGTCTTTATTCCACTTGTATCAGCACAGAACACTTAATATAACGGAATAGAAATGCCTTTGTTTCAATTTACTTGCGATACCACTGCCGCCGCTAGTCTCCCCACTCCTTTCAGGTAGTTAACACACTCAACTCATATACGCTAGTGCTTGACAAAAAACTATCGATAAAATATCGACACGGAATAATGTAGGTAATAAATATGTGATAAAATAAAACAATATAATGATATAATATGAAACGTAAATTTAATGAAATAAACTTAATGCTATAAAAAAACGTAAAGTAGAAAATTAATTAATTACAAGGAGTAAAACTTACACAGTAAAATGGAAAAAAAATTAAGACATTTTCATCATTTCAAAAACAAGATATTCATTGAAATATTTATTTATTTATTGTCCTGTAAAATGCAAATATTTATTTAAAAGTTGTCTTTTTGATACTTTTTGTGCTGAGGTTTTCATTAAATGGTGAAGGCGAATATCTGTATACCTTTCTATAATACATTTTGTTAACAATATTACATGGTTTTCCATTGGTCCCTGATCAAATTGATGAAAATCGATTTCTCTGAATACTTCAACGCCAATGAAATGACGTAAGGCTCTGGATGTTATCTGCTTTTTTAAACTTTTCAAAATTTTTGACTGATTGAGCATCTACAGTAAAAGTTTTAAGAATTGATTCAATTTTTTTACAAATCAAAATTACGTAAGCGCTAGGAAAAATAAGACCACCGTTGTCTTTCAACCGTATCAATTTAAAATTGTCTTTAATAGCACTGGAATTTAAAAGAGCCGAAATGCAAGTTTCGCATTTAATTTTGTTAAGTAAAAAATGTACCACATTTCCTGCTATGTAGCTTACTACTTCAAAACTAAATTCTGTCATGATATTTTCCGTTTTCAAAACTTCATCAAATTCTTTAATATATTCTTCATTTTCCATTTCTTCTTCAATCATTGGTGATAAAGTAGATTTATTCATTTTTTCCACTGATGAAGAACAAGTCAAAATTGAAATATTTTCAAGTGCCATGCAATTACCACTTTCAAAATTATTCAATTCTAGTTTGACTATTAGTTTTTTATAAATAGCCATGAAATGTCGCGCTGTCGGGTTGTTGTTACACCCACCATGAGCTCTTATATTACCGAATAACAACTCCAGATGATCTTGAGACAACTTATAGGTGGGCAAATATTTTAATTTTTTTTCTTCTTCGACAAGCCTTAGGTATAAACTTTTGACACTATTGATGCATACCACAAGACCTAAAAACCCGGTTTTTTTAGGTGATTTAATTATTTCCGTTTCGTTATACATTTTTAGGTTTTTTATATATGCTTCCATTTTGTTTAAAAAAATGAACACCTTATCCTTGTTTTTGAAATTTATGGGTTCCTTATAGTGTAACTGATTAATATTTCGTGAATTTAAAATATCAAACAAGTCATTAAAATTTTGCAAAAAATCTACTGTGCCTTGGACATCGGTGAACCCCGGTTGGTTAGTTTTGGAACAAAAAATTAAAGCTCTAGCTACACTACTGCTCATCAGTTGTGTCGCCAGCTTAACTTTCATTTTTTGGTTGTAGAAATAAATATGGCGGCGTCTTAACTTATTTGCAAGATGCAAATGTTCTTTTTCCTGTAGATGGTTAAGATGGACCAGGTACGACCACTTTATTAATCTACCAAAATTGTCTTTTAATGTTGCGCTTGATTCGAATGCATTTCTTACTAGTTTTAACATGTGGCAAGCATCCAACAAAACGTAAACTGGTTTTTGTGAAACGGGATGGCTAAAACAAGTTTTTATATTATTAATGTCAAAAGAGCATCCGAGAATTTTTGCCATTGTAAGATTAGCAGGACAACCATCAAACGTCAGAGAAACAACTTCAACGCCAGTTGTGCTTAAAAGTTCAAGACACTGTTTCACTAGGTTTGACTTTTGTTCACCTGTTACACCGTCTGTCAGAAAGTATCCGACAGGTATTTTCCATGCCCCATTAATTGCAGTAACAAGGAATACTAAAGCCTCTTTAGCTTCACACAAATTATCCCCACCATCGTTTAAATTGTTTCCGAAATTAACATAACCATGCATACGTTTCCCATCCCATTCGATGCGCTGACGAATCGCCATCTCATCCAACACCAAATTACATAATATTGGATATTGTGTAGATTGAATTTTAGATTTTATAGCATCAAGGGACTCTGTAGTAAAACCAGGTTCTGCGTCAAAAGATTGATACCATTTTTTAATGGTCCTGGGATGAGGCAAGCAGGTCTCAAACTTGCGCCTTACATAAAGGTATGCCTTCGGCGAATAAAAATGTAGCGTCATCGCAAAACTCCGAAGGCTCGGTGAGTATTTTTCACGTGTTAATTTTTTAGATTTTAATTTTTTCTCACATCTTTTAAATAACTCTTTTGTGTTCACGTTGGTGTTTTCTAAAAAAAAGGCTTGGTCGCTATTAATTAATCTGTTTGATTGTAATTCCTTTATTATTTCTTGCAACTCTATAATTTTTTTTCTATATCTCCGGTTTTTACCTTGTAAACATTTTATTTTCGATCGTTGAGTTTTTATAACATTTTCCTTTTCGTTTATAATACGTTGCATTTTTCGTTTTCTGGGAGTTTCCATTATGTCCGGATCTAACTGTATCGCTCGCTTAATAGATTTGGATGACATAGAAGGTGACGGAGATTTTGATGGTGTTACGTTAACTTGGATATCTGATACCTGAAATAACATGTTTGTTAACCTAATAGTTACCTTGCAAAAAGTAACTATTAAGTTACTAATAGCTCTACATCTATCCTCTATTACAGATCAAAATGTAGATGCGTTGTCACCCGTGAGAACTAAGATGGAATGCCTCATTTCCAGTAAAAAGGGCGTCCGGCCACCTGCACTCACCAAGCGAAACGCAGAGGTAAACCGCTACTTCACGCTGGTTTTCTGTGAGGTCGTGGTACCACCCCGGTTCAAGCCGGCCCATCCGTGCGACAGCAAGACTGACTTAATTTCAGTATAATTACACAAAATGTGGTAAAGCATTTCGTTTCCGAATTATATAGTATCAAAAATGCACTAGTGGCGCCACATAATTTCTTTACTGTTTTGCATAATAGAGCCACGGGATGGTTTGTATTTTACTAAAATACTTTATTTATTTAAAAAGATACTTACATTTTCAGAAGTTGTCCAAACGTGAATAGTCGGATAAGCATGATCCAAAAGAACACGGCGTTTTCTTGTAGGATTAAAATCCTGTTCTTGAAAATGTGCTGAACATATTTTGCTATGTTTAGAAGGAAACCAATTTTTTTTCCCTGTTGCCAAAATCCATTTTTCCTTAACTTCTGGGTTTATCGGAAAACTAAAAAAAATATAAGAATATTGAATAAGAACAAATATTTATTGTTAAATAAAACTTACACTTTTTATTTAACAGCAAAATTTATTTCTAAAAATAATCCACTAGAATTGATTATACAAGGCATAGAATATCGATAGCGTCGATAAACTAAAATCTAAGCACATCCTTAATTGGCGTCTGGGATCAGCGGCCATACTACGACGCGTTGAAGGGCAAAGTATCGTTCAATAAAATCGATTTAAAAATGTATTATTTTACTCACCAATGATAAGAAATTCCTTTAGAAGAACAATAACCCTTTCCTGAACAGTTTGAACAGTTCGAAACACTGCAATAGACCATTTTTAACCACGTGCACCACGACTAACACTTGACGACTGCTTGTTTCGAACTGAGTCACGAAATTCTAGTAGTTGGCTTTTAAGCCATATACACGGCGCGCGTTCCCGGCTCGTATAACATTTCTACTAGCTATATTAAGTGTTCTGTGTGTATCAGGTTTACATTATTAATTTATTATTACTTATCCCTTCCCGCTTGGAAAAGGCTCACAATATATTTATACAAAAATACCCGATACAAGGGCTTCGCTCTCCTACATTTATTTAAAAAAAATGTAGGGGAGGTACACGGCCCCACACACGCCGTGCACGGTGAGTGCCAACCATTTTGATGCACTCCCCCCGAAGGGAAAGCTAATTCGGGAACTGGACCGTAGTCCACAGCAAAATAACTGGCGAACCAGTAAAAGAGGCTTGGCCCCTTGCTAGTGCGTAAGCACAAACATCGACCGAAGTCGCGCATGTCAATGCGTGTAAACGCCAAACAGAATACGAACGAATCCAGCCAGAGTGAATGTACGTCACACGGTTTAGGCAAATAGGCACACTGGCCGTAAACCCTCCGTGAGCGCCACCACCTGCCAGACCGCCGCTCCTGCAGACGTGATGTAAGTGTATGGCATCACCACCAGTTGCATGATCAGCACGGCTACTAGCCGCAGAGCGTGTCATGAGTCTACCGCTCACCTCAAGGGAATGGGGTCCCACGTTGTGCGGCTTTCGGCCGCAGCCTTGAGAGTCTCCTCAGATCCTCCCGCCAGCTACCACCCGCATGAGGTCGACACATATGCTCCACCAACCAATACAACGGCAGATATAGCCAAAAGGCAGTTATAAGATAAGAGTAATAATTCGCCATCAGAAAGGGTTTGTGTCACTGACGTTGAGTAAATGCATTTTCGATCATGTTTGTCTCACCCACCGACAAGTTGCCTTCAATCATTCAAAGGTGGGAAAGTTACAGAGATATAATATTATGTTGTTATATAAAACATCGTGGAGGGCAGACAGTCTGCAGCCCCGTAATGAAGGGACCCGACTTGGGCAAAGCTACTTAGGTGTGAGTCAAACCAAGACGCAGAGAGCGCCATTGAGAATAGCGTCCCACCAAACAACCATCGCAGAGACGCAATGCTGCAGAACGCAACAAGCATCATTACGACTATCGTCGGGCTTACACCATCCCAAGGTCCCCCATACATCCCAGCAGACATCACCACCCGCATACCTCCATCGACCAGAACCACAAGAGAGCGTCGAATCAGGCGCATCAAACCCGCAGATCCATCACAGGACGCAATACCGCAAGTAGCAGTAAGCATCAAAGCAACTATCATACGGGTGGCACCCCCTCACAACACACCCACATGACTCTTATCGACTTTGGTAACAAAGTTGGTATTGTTGTTATATAAAAAATATCACCAACGTATCATAGTAGCACGCTACTAAGACGCCAATGAACAAAACTCCACGTACCATAGCGCTAATGCACTAAGACATGTAGTTGAGTCTGCCTGTTACACTTAAAAGTACTACCAAACACACTCATCATCCCAATCCGAAAGATAGACGACACATCGCTATGCGCAACGACGTCGCCCACAAACGGTATGGGTGTGCGATGTCCACGGGAAAGCCGTATTGCTACAACAAACCCGCTTACCACCAGCACTAAGATGTTAATTGTATACCTCCATCGACCAGAACCACAAGAATGCGTCGAATCAGGCGCAGCACACCCGCAGATCCATCACAAGACGCAATACCGCAAGTAGCAGTAAGCATCAACGCAACTATCATACGGGTGGCGACCCCTCACAACACACCCACATGACTCCTATCGATTTCGGTAACAAAGTTTTTATTGTTGTTATATAAAAAATATCACCAACGTATCATAGTAGCACGCTACTAAGACGCCAATGAACAAAACTCCACGTATCATAGCGCTAATGCACTAAGACATGTAGTTGAGTCTGCCTGTTACACTTAAAAGTACTACCAAACACACTCATCATCCCAATCCGAAAGATAGACGACACATCGCTATGCGCAACGACGTCGCCCACAAACGGTATGGGTGTGCGATGTCCACGGGAAAGCCGTATTGCTACAACAAACCCGCTTACCACCAGCACTAAGATGTTAATTGTATACCTCCATCGACCAGAACCACAAGAATGCGTCGAATCAGGCGCAGCACACCCGCAGATCCATCACAAGACGCAATACCGCAAGTAGCAGTAAGCATCAACGCAACTATCATACGGGTGGCGCCCCCTCACAACACACCCACATGACTCCTATCGATTTCGGTAACAAAGTTTTTATTGTTGTTATATAAAAAATATCACCAACGTATCATAGTAGCATACTACTAAGACGCCAGTGGACAAAACTCCAAGTATCATAGCGCTAATGCACTAAGACATGAAGTTGAGTATGCCTGTTACACTTAAAAGTGCTACCAAACACACTCATCATCCCAATCCAAAAGATAGACGACACATCGCTATGCGCAACGACGTCGCCCACAAACGGTATGGGTGTGCGATGTCCACGGGAAAGCCGTATTGCTACAACAAACCCGCTTACCACCGGCACTAAGATGATATGTCTAGGACACATCGGTTAGCGAGTCCAAGTTTACCTCGGACCAATTGCTCGTGAAGCAGCACACACGTCACCATAATATTCCTTTTCAAGTCCCTAATAAGGACTAGTCATTTTGCTACAGTACTAGGAGCAGTCGGTCACCCGACCACCCCATACAATGCTTATGCATCAAGGAGACCTTCAATAATAATGCTTTTGTATCATAGACCTCACTTTCATAAGTCATTCATATATAGGGTTCGAACCCACAACCCTACTATTGTAATGCATATTAATCATAGAGACCTTCTATAGTATTTCTTTTGTATCATAGACCACACTTTCATAAGTAATTAATATATAGGGTTCGAACCCACGACCCTACTATTGTAATACAAATTCATCATGGAGACCTTCTATAGTATTGCTTTTGTATCATTGAGTTTAATATCATAAGTCCCTAATATAGGACTAGTCATTGTGCTACAGTACTTCAGGCAGTCGGGCTCCCGACCACCCCATATATATGTACAACTGCAGGTATGTACCTCCGACAGCTTCCTCCATACAAGACATCTATACGTGAACACCTTCCATAACTTAGGAAAATTTTCTTTAATACATGAACTCCTTCAACAACTTAGGAAATTTCATCTATACGTGAACTCCTTCCACAACTTAGAAAAATTTTCTTTTATACACGAACACCTCCCATGACTTAAACAATTTTTAACAAATTTTCTAATTATCTTATAAACGTTATTTAACTTAATTTTATAATATTTTTTGACTTGTATTTCTATTATTTATCTTATTTTAAATATTTTTCAAGTTTTTTTAAATAAATTTATTTATTACGAAAAACAATAATTTTGCCTTTAATTTACTATGTTATTGGGATAATGTCTGAAATATATTAACTTTATGTTTATTAATTTAACTTACTTGCTTAATATATATCTTTTAAGACTATTTTTGACGCCCCTTTATATTTAATTTAATTATTAATAATAATATTGGGCCGTCACAAATCGAAGAAAATGTTCGCTTCATATGTCATTAAACACAACTTTAGCTTAGATCACTTGTGAAAGTCACACACAGACAGGCTACTTCAGGAGATCATAATAAATTATATTAAATAACTTGCCAGTGTCAATCCTTATTCTTCCCGGTAGTCGATTAGGCAGGTCTTGATTCTCGACATGTTCAAATGTCGGAAAACCAAGTGCAAATTCCGCACAGAGATTTATTTTGAACATTTCTCAAAATATTTCAAAAAATGCATGCAAATGTTTAAAACATTTTATAATATATGTATTGTATAACAACAATTTACGTATGTTATTTCTAAACAACTTCAAACAGCAAATACAGTTGCATCCAAAGATAACTTATTGTATATGTCATTGTCACGGTTAAAAGCTGAAGTGCGGACACTTGGGTTCAGCTGGATACAACTGGTGCTGCCGATTGTAAATAATTAAACGGCGCCCAGCGAAGTGAGAGGGCATCAGCTAGTTTGTCATAAATACGAAAGCAAGTATCGAATAATATCAGTGACAGAAGGTTAAGGCACAGCTTTAATTTAATTTTTAAATTCAATTAAAGCTTATAAGGATACATCTAAGTTTAACCAACCACAAATGCCTAAACCTAGCTATAGCTAGCTGTGTGTTTGGCCACATTCACACTTCGGCTTTTATCCGTGATATTTAGAAAAAAGGATTTCCAAAAAAATTTTTCAAGGCTTTTAGCTGTGATTTTGATTTGAAATATTTAAATGGCATCTTATCATTTTAGTACGTTTTCTAGGATGTAACGGTGACGTATATATTCGAAGCGTGTGAGCATAACGTTTCTTTTTCTCTGTGTGGACAGCTATAGGTTCATTCCGCTATTTAACCTCATCGGCGATGGAACGGCGGTACTGGGAAGAGTAACCTTGCCTAGAAGATATGTAAATATTTTTGTATTAGGCATCAGAGTAGTTAACAATTAAATTTGACTGTCTCGTTGGCCTAGTGGTTGGCTCGCATCCCGGATCGGGTCAAAATCAATTTTCGAAATTTTCTAGCAGTTATCTGACTTTTATAGCAGTTATTGGATCTTTTTAGTAGAAGCAAGGACTCAAGAAGTTGACGATGTTTATCCGCGTATCTTAGAAAGTACGTTAAGCTGTTATTAATGGTATATCTCTCCTTAATGTCCGATTGCTGTCACATCGAGCTATAATTATGAGGGAATAGAGAGTACACCTGTGTATGCGTGCACTATAATCTCCGTTCAATATGGCAGCCGTGATTGAACTTTGCTTTTGAGAATATTAAGTAATAATTAAAAACATGTTTAAATTTCATTTACCTGTGTCTTTTAAACAATATGCAGATAAAAGCGAGCAAACAAATTATAAGGGGAATAGAACTGCATATTATCACAAGCATATTCAGGTCTAGAATTTCCGAAGGAGGGTCAATTTCTTCTGAAATAGAAATACGTAAATATTAAAAAATGTAAAAGAGTAGTTGCAATTGTTTCAGTAATGTGTTTTAGTGCAGTCAGAGAAGAGACCATAGATGTTATAATTTTTTAAATAGAAAATTGCGTAATTATTGTGCATTATCTTTAATTGCATGACGATTTATTGTTTTTAATCGCCAGCTTTTAAGAACGTTCACGCATATGCTTCCATTTTCAATCCGAGTAAGCACACACTACAAAATAACCAAATTAGAGAAATATGTTTGTCACTTTTAACCTTGAGAATCAAAAGTTTTGCTCATTTTGGTGATATTTGGTGTACAACGCTCACGTGTACTCGAAACACCACTTTTACTACGAGTCTTTTCGACTGACGTCAACGCAATAGAAATAAAGAGTTCTGGATACACTTCACCATCACCACTAGCGTGATTACTCCGATTCGAATCGGAGGAAGTGTGCATGTGTAAATTTGTAATGTAACATGTGTAAATTTTCTCATACAAAATGTACAACGGTTACTTATTACTTACTATCTAAGCTATGTGTTATCATAAAGATCTTAGTAATTCCTTTCAGCCGGTGAATACGAGTCGACTAAAACACCACTACATTGTTTAATTTGTTTACTTAGTTATATTATGTTACTTTAAAACTTCCTTGCGTCTGATAATAATGCTTCGAGTACCTAATATCTCTTTTTTTAAACTGTGTAATTTCTTTAAAATATAGCATTATTCTAATATTTTTGCTCTAAAGGACAATTAAATTTGCATACAATGAAAAAAAATCGCTATCCACCTTTCTTCATCGGCCAGCCACGACCATCAACTAAAATCCGCAGCTGGCTCAAATAAATATTTTTTATATTTAGGTGAACACTACACATTTAATGAAATTAATCTTACGTATATTATCGCGTTAATTTTAAACTTTTATCTCACGACGTTTCTGGTGCTTTATTAATTTCACTAGCGAAGATGTATTGGTACAACAATAATTAAACTCGGGATCCTATAATTAATAAAATGAAATCTAAACCTAAGCTCACCACTACAAAACTTCAAGACAAGAACGCAGAACGGAAGAGGACCCATTACCTCATGTAATGGGTCCTCTTCCACTCCCTTAACATGATAATTCAAATTTACTTTTTTCAAATACGTTTTAATAAAACGTATCTGGATTTTCTCCTGTATCATAAAAACTTTACATACATAAATAACACATAGGAAAACATCCTGACCCAAAATAATTATCTGTCATACAACTGTGTATTGTCGGTATAAAAATATCCAATATTCCATATCGACAGAGGGAAAACAAACCAGATGGGCAGCAGCATCATCCTGATGACAACTCAGTTATACAACTGCGATTGCAACAATAGCAAAATCCGCCTAAATTTGTAAATCTTTGGGGGAGTCCATGTTCAGCAGTGAACTTTGACAGGCTTTAATAGATGCATAGATAGATACAACCACTCCGTGCGTGAGTTGAACCCGAAACGTTTAGGCACTACGCCACTAGTTAACCAAACTGTTTTTTCGTGGACACAGTGAGTTTTTTTTATAATTTTATGGTTGTTTCCATTAATATTAACCTATTTTTAAAGAATTATTTAATAAATAATTTTAAGTAGTTTGTATATCTTTTTGCTTCTGCATGTTTATTGTCTACTTATTCAAGACATTAAATTGAGTACAAGCTTTATTGAGAACATTTGAAATTTTAGTCGTCTCTTTTATTCAATCAAAACTATCTACGGTACTTTACTCAGCACATAATTTTACCGGTTTTGTTATATTTATAAAATATTAAAATATACCAAAATTTAATTTATGAAAACCTCTGTACAGTTAGATAACCGGCAAAGTTTTTTAAATATTGAAATAACACAAGTTTTGATGAGGGAACTTTGTTTCGCCAACAATGATAAAGTCCTTCAGAATTCATTTGATGTTGAAAATTTACATATTTTTGTGAAAGTTTAGGTAGACGTTACTTTTACTTCAGTTATTACAGGGAGATTTTTAATAATTATATCATGGAATGTCAGTTATACTTAATTTTTATTTTTTATATATTTAGCATCTTATATATAAAAAGCGGTCTAAGTGCGACCCGATTATTCTACACGATTAACTTCCCAGTGGAAAGAATAAAAAATATCATATGTTTTAATATTTTATACAATTTTTCATTAGGCACAAAAAACTACTTAACCGATTTTGCTCAAAATTTAATGAGGTCTAAGTTACATAATTATACGTTAAATGAAACTCGTTCCATGTCAATATCACTCTTTGTTCTCGAGATACACGAGATTCACAAATACACCCATTTCAATAACTTCCCACTGGGAAGTTAAAAATCTCGTGTCACAGTGTTTGTGGTCGCACTCCTCCGGAACGGCTGGACCGATCTTTATAAAATCTTTTACGAATATTTGGTGAAATGAAAATAGGTCCTAAAGTATATTTAGACCCGGTAGGTGGCGCTGTTGTCGCGATCCAAAAATCACTCGTGCAAAACTGGGGTGGACCATTAGTATTTTCACAAAAATTAGCCGAAGACATTATCAGGGTCGACAGAGAACGCTCTAAACGGAATTTCATCCGCAAAATTGGTAATATATTAAAGATGGCTCAAATTAAGAGTAACCTAACGGACGAGTATGTTTGTATAATAATGTGAAAAATCGAGAAAGGTGTGACAGGATCTTGCCATATAGTAGTCCATAGTTTTTGCCCATCCTTTTGGGCGTCATACGTAAGAGTTATGTATGTATGTATGTTGCATTTTGCCGTTTTTTAAAATATTTATTGTTGATCGTTGAATAGTTGGTTTATACAATGAAACACTAATCCTCGCGTTTGCAGCGTATCGATATTTATATTTATTTATTATATTCCATATAGATATTATATATAGATATTTTTTTGGTGGGTAGGTGTGTACAAGTAACGACTGTCAAACATTTGAAACTAGTGTTTGGACTATATTTACTTATACATTACATCTTTATTACCTTTTCTTTGGAAGTCATATTGAAACATATGTCCTGATAAAATATTTGTGACTTACTCTATCGACACCCATCTGTGTAACTTCTCTTGCAAACTATATCACTCACTAGCACTTCGCTTCGTGTTCACTGATATCACTGGAAATATTGCAAGTAATGGCAAAAGTGTCTGATATGGAAGTCATGCAGAGAGAACTTGAAGGAAGCTGGAGTCGCAAGATGGCTGATTTTGAAAATAGATTAAAGGCTGCTTCTACACCAACTAGTACCTCTCTTAATCAATTTCGTGAGGAGTCTTACGAATTCAAAAACTTTGTAAGCTCTGTGCTCAATCACCTTCGGCAGCAGATACGTGCCTGTACTATGACAATTGATGTTATTGATATGCAGCACAGGCAGAACATTCTCCTATTTAATGGGATCCGACTCTCCTGATGTTAACATTGAACAAGAAATAATAAACATCATTCATAACAAAATGGGTATCCCACATATAACAAATGTATCCTTATCACATTGTCATCGAAGTGGTGTCCAAAGGGATGGTCATTCACGTCCAATCCTTGTACAATTCCAAGAGCATCACACAAAGTCTGAGATGTGGAAATCTAAAACTAAGTTAAAAGGCTCTCAAATATAAGTGTCTGAGTTTTTAACAAAAATAAGGCAATCTGTTCATAAAAAAGCACGCAAGCATTATGAATTGAAGAATATGTGGACCTTAGATGGCACAATTTTTATCAAGCTTCCCATTAACGAACGGGCAAAGATCTCCACTGAAGAGGAGATTGATACTCTCATAGAAAAGTTTCCTGTCGATTGTTCACCAACAATACATGATGTAGCTTCTAATAGTGGCATCACTAATGTTGCAAAGAAGCCCATTCAAGCACAGCAAAGTTCTTCAAGTACAAAAAGTCTGTGTGAGATTTCTCAGAGAAATCAAGATATGAGGCAGAAAGAGGAGTCTAAAAGGTCCCGCCGTTTAATAGCAAAAAAATAGCTTAGTTAGGCTATATTTTTCATACAGTACCTTCGGTATCCTTTTTTTACTATTTCTTTTTATTTTTTTATATATCAAGTACTTATTTTATGGCCCTGATTATATCGGTAGCATAGAACGCTATTATGTATTTATTTCTGTTTTTACATATTTTTTGTAGTTGTTTTATTACATGTGTTTTAAGTTCTTTGTAACATAAACTCCTTTGGAATTTTTTTCCTTGTAAATCAAAATTGATTTAATCATGCATAGTACATAATTTGCATAAGCTTAGTTTTCTTTTTAGTTTCTAGGCAAAGGAGTCTTACTTAGTATGTTTATCTATGCTATGCATGTTTATGGTAATTATCTAATCATAACCATCTTTACAATTGGTGCTAAATACTTTTATAAATGTACCATATAAACTACTTATAAATTTCCATTTAATTTTTTATTTTGAATTTGACATTATATTTTTTTAGCCCTTGATAGACAAAGGACAAATGTACCATACAGCCAGTATCGATTATATACTTTAATTTTGTAATCGATTTATTTCGGTAAATTTTTTTATTATTTTGTCGATACCTATTTTGGAACAGTAATATTTTTATTAGACTAAAATATTTTGCCAACTAAGATATCAAAGATTATACTTAAGTTTGCACGTAAGATCTATTTATATTAAGTTTACTTCGTAAACTGAAACTGATGGGATGGTGATGTTTATGTTTGCTAAGTTTTATTTTATAAATTAGTCTTATAGTTTACATAGTTTACTTTTATATATATATTATATTCCTTTACTATTGCTTTTTTATATTTATTTAATTTATGTATTATCTTAGTCCATGAATTATGTCTGATTTTGAGTCGTTTAGTTCTGCAAATGATTCTTATGCCTTGTCGTTTTACTCTTGTGATGATTCTTTTAACGACAGCGTGCTTGATTAATACCAACTACTCACAGGAGTTTTTGCGTCTTTTAACAACTCTTTCAACGTATGTCATATAAACGCTCAAAATATCCTGAGCCACTATACTGAACTCGTAGCTTCATTTTTGCCTGAGCATATTCATGCCATATTAGTGTCGGAAAGTTGGCTGAAGCCTTCTTTACCGTCGACTTTATATCCACTACCCGGTTTTGTACTTACTAGGAATGATCGTGTTGGAAAAGTTGGAGGTGGTGTAGCCATCTACCTACACGCATCAATTCATAATAAAGTTGTTTTAGCATTTCCTACCTCTTATTCTGCCTCTTCTGAGTTTTTATTTGTGGAAATCGATATCAAGGGTATAAGGATGCTTCTAGGGGTAGTATATTGCCCCTCTTCGACAGACTACTTCGGCACTTTAGACATGGCTCTTGTTGATATTTGTTCTAAGTACACACACTGTATAATCACTGCTGCTAGACTGCACTGACTGCTAGACAAAAAGGAGTCTTT